CTCATGCAGTTTCTCGAAGTTAATACACCATGGTGAGATTGGAACTCTGTGGTTGGAGGAATGGTATAATTTAATCTGTGGGACCTGCAACAGTGCCTGTTCGAATGTGTAGGCAGCCTACACGTGTGAAGTGTGGGCTGCCTGGATGACTTGTTATAGTAATCAATTCCTTGTGTTTTTTTGTATCTCTGCTATCCAAGTGTCCATCTTTAGGTACTGTGATTTAGTATCGTTCCTTAAAATGCTTTTCTTATGTTCTCTAAGTCTTTTTTTCTTTTTGATACATGGGTTTCCCCTCTGGGGGGCTTCCCTGGTGGTTCAGACAGTGAAGAATATGCCCACAATGTGGGAGACCCAGGTTTGATCCCTGGGTCCAGAAGATCCCTGGAGAAGGGAATGGCTACCCACTCCAGTGTTCTTGCCTGGAGAATTCCATGGACAGAGGAGCCTGGCGGGCTACAGTCCACGGGGTTGCAAAAGAGTCAGACGTGGCTGAGCGACTAACACTTTCAGTTTCCCCTCTGCATTCATTTGTCAGGGCTGCCAGAACAAAGCACCAGAGACGGAGTAGCTTAAACAACAGAAATTTCTTTTCTCACAATTCTGGAGGCTGGATGTCTCAGATCAAGGTGTTTGCAGATCTGGTGTCCCCTGAGGCCTCTCTCCTTGGCTTGCAGATGGCTGCCTTATTGCTGTGTCTTCATATATATATATACAGATTGCATGTGCCAAGAAGCAGGAAGACTATATAAAGAGGAAGCAAGTTGAACAGGGGTGAAGGTGAGTAGTGTGGAGAGTGTTTCAGTTGATAGGAGAGAATAAAATTGGTATGAGATGAAATGACTTATGAAAGGTTATAAATTTGTGCTACAGTTTTTATTGTGTGCTATTTGTAGAATGATATATAGTTACCTAAGTGATTTTGTGGTATGAAGTATGAGATTCATGGCTTTATTATTATTATTATTATTATTATTTTGAGATTCATGGCTTTATTAAATCAACTTATGTCCAGATGTAAAGCTAATACTAATGCTTTAAAATTTACAAATAGCTGAGGAAAGAAGAGAAGTGAAAGGCAAAGGAGAAAGGAAAAGATATGCCCAACTGAATGCAGAGTTCCAGAGAAGAGCAAGGAGAGATAAGAAAGCCTTCTTAAGTGAACAATGCAAAGAAATAGAGAAAAACAACAGAATGGGAAAGACTAGCGATCTCGTCAAGAAATTTAGAAGATACCAAGGGAACATTTCATGCAAGGATGGGCTCAATAGATGACAAAAACAGTGAGGACCTAATAGAAGCAGAAGAGATTAAGAAGAGGTGGTAAGAATACACGGGAGAAAAAAAAAGAATACACGGGAGAACGATACAGAAAAGGTCTTAATGACCCGGATAACCATGATGGTGTGGTCACTCACCTACAGACAGACATCCTGGAGTGTGAAGTCAAGTGGGCTTTAGGAAGCATCACTACGAACGAAGCTAGTGGAAGTGATGGAATTCCAGCTGAGCTATTTAAAATCTTTAAAGATAATACTGTTAAAGTGTACTCAGCATTGGCCACAGGACTGGAAAAGATCAGTTTTCATTCCAATCCCAAAGGAAAAAGGGCAGTGCCAAAGAATGTCTAAACTACCATACAGTTGCACTCATTTTGCATGCTAGTAAGGTTATGGTCAAAATCCTTCAAGCTAGGCTTCCAGCAGTACATGAACCAAGATCTTCCAGATGTACAAGCTGGGTTTAGAAAAGGCAGAGGAATCAGAAATCAAATTGCCAACATTTGTTGGATCATAGAGAAAGTAAGGGAATCCCAGAAAACATCTGCTTCATTGGCTACTGGAAAGCCTTTGACTGTGGGGATCACAACAGACTGTGGAAAATTCTTAAAGAGACAGGAGTACCAGACCACCTTACCTGTCTCCTGAGAAACCTGTATGCAGGTCAAGAAGCAACAGTTACAACCTTACATTCTTTTTTATTGTTGAGTAAAATTCCATTGTATAAATACCATATAGGCTTAAAAATTTTTTAATAACCCATATTCACTCGTGACTCAGTATTTGTTAAATAAAGATGTTTTGGGTTCATTCATAGAGGAAAATTCGGAACATTGTTAAAATATGATAGTAGTCTAAGCACCTTAAGGTGTTATAGTTTGACTCTCATACAGGACTTCACACAGCTGCAAAAAGGAGAGCAGTATCCAGTACAGACTCCTGTGAGCACAGTGTTAGCAATGATGCTATTGAATCTTTATACCCCTGGAAGTTTGTCTGATAAACTGGGTAGTTGTCACACTGAGTTTCATACAATTCAGATCATAAAAATAAAACTAAGAACTCACATATGTGTATTCCACAGGCTCATTAGAATTGATTTGTTGCTAGTTTCAAAAATACAGTGAAAGAAGTTTGCAGTGTTTGTGTTCACTTGGGATCAGGCTGTTTTGCAGAGTCAAGGTTATTGAAATTTATCTGCGGCAGAGATGGGCGAATAATGAACAGTTCTTTCTAGACACGTAATACAAGCTCCCTGTTGGCTTATGTCTGTCTGCCTTAGTAACAAAGATGTCTCTGTGCTACGGGGTAAAGACCTGGAGTGAACTGACTGCCCGGTAAGGGCTAAAAGCACTTGTAGGATATAGAACCACAGAGACTCATTATGATGGCTAAATTGCTTATGAGATACCAGTACTCTGAAGTCCTGATTGGAGTGGGCTTCACACGTCTGTGTTCTGTCTTTCCTGTTTCATATGCAGCATTTTGATTTAGAGATAGAGTAAGATCTGTTGAATAAAACAAAAAAAAGATAGTCTTTGGGCAATTCCTACAACAGACTCTTCCGTTTGATCTTTTGCTATTTGAACCTTTTAATTATTTGTAGAGATATTTTAAAACACAGAAGAGTACACAGGCACTCAATGTATTGACCACCAGGATGAGTTTTTAGTTTTCAGTATCTTCCTTCACAAAATATAAGCATAACGTCTTTCAACTTGTGGGAAACAGGACTAGAAAAGTGAAGAACATTGATCCCTCCCAAGATTAGCTTTTATTTATAGCTGTAGCTTCTAACTTTATTTTAGTGCTTTATAAACTCACCAAATCCCACTACTTAACATTAACAATAAATTGCACCTTCTTTACTTCTAACCTTTACTTGAAGCTTTTAGTGTAATTGATTGGACACCTGCTTTTGCACATCTGCAAATGGTTATCAGTTATATATAAAATCCATTCCAGAGGGGTGTGGAAAAGAGAAAAAGAAATGGATCTTACTGTCTTTTTCAAATGATCTTTTCTTCTCTGTCTGGCCTTCCCTGGTGGCTCAGCTGGTAAAGAATCCCCCTGCAGTGCGGGAAACCCGGGCTTGATCCCTGGGTTGGGAAGATCCCCTGGAGGAGGGAATGGCAACCCACTCCAGTATTCTGGCCTGGAGAATCCCATGGACTGTATAGTTCATGAGGTCGCAAAGAGTCGGACACGACTTAGAGACTTTCACTTCACTTTCTTCTCCAGCTAATGAATCTGGATAATTTTGAAACGTCAACCACTTGATGTAGTTGGTTTTTTCCATTCGTTGTGCTGAGTGCTTGTCCCATTCAATACAGAGACTCATGCCCTTCACTTCTGGGAAATTTTCTTCCATCATTTCTTTGATAATTTGCCTTTCTTCTTAACCTGTTTGCTTTTTTAAAACTTCTGATGTGGAGAAGACCTACTGAGACTCTTTTTCTTAATTCTTCTGTCTCTTTCTGCCTCTGTCTTTTGGTTGTATTTCTTGGTAGATTTTTAAACCTTACTCTCATTCCTTCTGTTGAATTAAAAAAATTTTTTTGTCAATAATAGTTTTATTTTCAACAAATCTCTTTTGTTCTTTATTTTTTTCATTTTAGCTTCTATAATCCTTTCTTTAATCTCTGAGGATACTAATTCAGGTTGTTTTTTTATATACATTTATGTGGCAATTTATATACATTATGTGGCAAAACCATCATAAAGACAAAAAAAACCAAAACACAATATTCAAATAGTGCTTACACTTTGGTGATATGCTTGGAGTGGAGCATAAAGAATATTGTTATTGGTTGTGTCCTATTTTTTAAGTTAGGAATTGAGTGTTATTATGATCTTCATTCCTTATATATATATATTAAATATATTATATAATCTTTTATATGTGTCTAATATTTCATAAAAAATTAGCAAATGTGAAGGACACTCCTTGTATCCCATCTTGTAAGAGTAGATGTTTGACAGTGTTCTGTGCATGGAGTGGGGACATTGACTGTTTGTAATCATGACCCACCCTTTCAGCTCAACAAGCAATTGAGAAATGACAGAGCTAAATGAATCAGCATAAATGGGGTAAAGCAGAGTGTAAAGTGAAGTGGCTCAGTTGTGTCCGACTCTGCGACCCCATGGACTGTAGCTCACCAGGCTCCGTCACCCATGGGATTTTCCAGGCAAGAATTCTGGAATGGGTTGCCATTTCCTTCTCCAGGGGATCTTCCCAACCCAGGGATTGAACCCGGGTCTCCCGCACTGCAGGTAGACTCCTTACCCTCTGAGCCACCAGGAAACCCTATAAACAGGGTGGCGATGCATAGTTCCTTTGGAGACGATCTTGGCAGGATGCCCCCTGAAGTCACAAAGTTGCGGACACCATCTAGTCTTCCCTGTGATTGTAAGAGACGCGCCCACCAGCTCCTGACTACGTGCTGGTCTTAAATTGCATCCTTTGCCTTCCCCACGGGGCCTCGGGCACTCCTGCACATCTCTGTAAGCCATTTTGGCTCAAAACCGTCTAACTGGACATGAAGTAAGGGCAGAAAACAGCGGAGTGGAGGGGCGGCTGGTAGGGAAAGCCCAGCGCTGCGCCCCTGCCCGTGGTGAGGGCTCGAGGGCGGGCCTGGCCGGGACGGGCGCCTCCTCCCCCGGCCCTCACCTCGGCCCCGACGGTTCCCGAGCGCGTCTGTGGACGTGCTCAGGTCTTACTTAGTGCTGACATGGTGGGACAGAGGTCGTCACGAGCCAGAGCGAACGCGGCGCTGCTGACCGGATACACCCGTGTGTGGTCTTGCGGTGTCCCCCAGTTTGTGTCTGTGTCCACTCCGGGACCACGCGGTTCTAAGTCCCAGACCTCAGCGAGTGTGCCCCGCTGCCAGCACCAGGCGGAGGCTTCCTCCCCTCCGCCCCGCAGCGCGGTCCCTGCTTCTCCCCGGGCGTTCTGACTCCACGCCGGTGGGACTCTCTCCTCCGCTTCTGGCCCCTCCACGTTGTTCCCGGCCTTGCAGCTGGCGCTGCTGGCAGAGCGCCCGCCTGCAATGCAGGAGAGGTAGAGAGGCGAGCTCAGTGCCAGGGTCAGGACGATCCCCCGGGGGAGGGCATGGCCACGCTCCAGTGTTCCTGCCTGGAGGCCGCCTCGGACAGAGGGGCCTGGTGGACCTCAGCCCCTGGGGTCGCACAGAGCTGGACACGACTGACGTGACTTAGCACACGTGCGTGTTCTGTTCTTTAGTGTGGCTTCTCCTTAGTCTGTCTCTCTCCTGTTAGTGGGGTCTGTGTTGGGAGAGGAGATACGGAAGTGTTTCATAAGCTTTCTTTTTTCCCGCCAAGAAATGTAAAAAGTGATTAAATTATGTTTTTATTTTCTGTTTTAAATTGAAGTATAGTCATTTTACAATTTTACATTAGCTTTAGGTGTACGATATTGTGATTCAGTAAGCTTTCTTTAATCAGAAACCAGTATTAACGTTATGAGGCATTTTGTCTACCTCCACCTCCATCTTTTTTCTTTTTTTTCTTTGGCTTCATTGAGGTATAATTGACAAAATTGTACTTTATTTTTTTGGTAAGATATTCAAAGTGTACACCATGATGATCCGATATACATAGACACTGTGAGAGGATTACCATATCCATCACCTTACATGTTAACTTTTGTGTGTGTGTGAGAACATTTAAGTCCTATCACTCAGTGAATTTCAGTTATATGTGTTATCAGCCATAGTCACCATGTACATTATTTGATCCACAGACTTTATTCATCTTGTAACTCAAAGTTTGTACTGTTTTCCCAACCTCTCCTTATTGCGGTCACTCTCTACCTCCTGGCAACCTCTTCTCCTTCTAGGAGTTTAGCTATTTAAATATCTATTTTATCTATTTATTTATAATTTAAAAAAAATTTAAGATTCCATGCATAAGTGAGATCATGCAGTATTTGTGTTTCTCTTTCTGGCTCATTTCCCTTAGCATAATGCCCTCCAGGTTCTTTAATGCTGTTGCAAATAACAAGATTTCCTCTTTTTTCAAGGCTGAAATTTATTCCACTTGTGTTGTGTGTATTTTCTTTAACCATTTATCCATTAATGGACACTTAGGTTGCTTGCATACCTTGGCTGTGGTGGATAATGCTGCAATGAGTATGGGAGTACAAATATCTTTTGGAGATACTGATTTTGTTTCTTTCGGGTATATACATAGAAGTGGGATTGCTGGATCGTATGATAGTTATATTTTTATTTTTTTGAGGCATCTCTGTACAGTTTTGCGTAGTGGCTGTCCCAATTTACATTCCCACCAACAATGTACAGGGGTCCCCTTTTCTCTGCATCCTTGCCAACACTTTTTATCTCTTGCCCTTTTTAAAGAGTTTTTTTTCTTTTATCTATTATTTATTTTTGGCTTCGCTGGGTCTTCATTGCTGTACACGGGTTTTCTCCAGTTGCAGTGAGCAGGGGTTTCTCTTCTTGCAGAGCATGGGTTCTGGGTGGGAGGGCTTAGTTGCCCCGAGGCATGTCACATCTTCTGCTACCAGGAATCAGACTGGTGTCCTTGCATTGCAAGGCAGATTTTTAACCACTGGACCACCAGGGAAGCCTCTAGCTTTGTTCTTTTTGCTCAGGATTGTTTTTGTTATTTGAGGTCTTTGGGGTTTCATACAAATTGTTTTTGGATAAATCTTTATAATTGAAGGAACTCGTATTAACTAGTCTCATTCCTTGGTAAGGCAATCTTTTTTAGGTTCACTTTTGCAAAACAAATGTTTTGATCATATGTATCTACCTACTGGAGATATGGGTCAATCTAATTTATGTTAGGTGTAAAATCACAGTCCTCTAGTAATAGTGGCTCATCTTTAATAAGCTTTGGGACAGCAGAATAAAATACTCCTTTATGAACTGTAACTGAGGAGAACCATTATTGATCCCTGAAGTTAAAAAGCGGTCATTGTTCTTTAGTAAGATAATTTCATCACTAGTGGTGATATTTTATCTAGTATTACAAATTCCTACTTTCATTGGCAGAACTTCACTTCTTTGTAACCTGATCGGGTGTCTAATTTTAAAACAACAGATGGCTGTATTGATTAGTAATATTTTTTCTCTGACACACAGAAAACTTTTCTTTAGTCCCTTGCAACTTGATCATCCATGCACCTTGCAGAAACCTCAGTGTCGTATATGGCTCAGAATATTATCTATAAGCACTTACCTCTGTCAGGCTTTTGTTTGGAGGCCAGAGCAGGAGTGTGACATGATACACAGAAAATTGTCCTCTAATCTTGCCTATTCACACGTGACGCACCATAGTTTGTCAGCGTCTTTTGTGTTTTAATTAAAAAAATTTTTTTCCTATGTTTTGACTGAATGCAGCCCTTGGATCTTAGTTCCCCGACCAGGGATCAAACCTCTGCCCTCTGCAGTGGAAAGTGTCTTACCACTGGCCCACCAGGGAAGTCCGAGTCTTTTGCATTTTAACAACACCTTTCTGAGAATTGACATTGCTTCCATCTAAATGACTTTGTCACTTCCTTAGGGGAAAATTAGTATACATTTTGTTTATGAGGGAAATGAAAAATACTTTATTTTACGCTGGATTGTGAGTTAATATGTCTAGGTAGACTGTTACTAGCCAGAGCCAGGACCAAACTCTGGTTCAGCTTGCTTGTTGCCCTGGAGTCAGTGTTGGAGAGACAAGGGTGGTGTAAAAAGAGGCTTTATTTAGGAAGCCGGCACCTGGGGATATGGTGGACTTGCATTCCCCCACATCACCTCCCAGTTGTCAGTTAGGGGTCAAAACGTTTTAGAGGAGAATTTTGGGGGCTTCACTGACAGTGAGGGTGCCAAATACATGCAGAACAGCAAAGTCAACGAAGACTCTCATCTTGAAACTGGTAGCGCAGTAGTCTAATCAGCGTCACCGTGATCATTGTAAGCACAGTAAATCTTTAGCCCTAGGGTTGATGTGTTCCTGTTGCCTGGAGGCCCGTTCTTGGAACTGTGCAGCCACAGAGTCGGTACTGATCAAGACAGAGCAGCGTCTGTCACGGCCACAGCCTGCTCAGCCCACAGTTAGTTTTCCCCTCTGGTGGCAGTTATAGTGTCTGCAAAGCAGCTGAGGAATGTGCATCAGACACTGTTATCCATGTCCTTTATGGAGGAACTGAAGGTTCTGTGACTCTCTTATCTTCATCATTAATTGCTTAATCCTGCTCTTTCGTGACTCAGGGAGGCCTGGGAGACTCCAGCTTTTCTACAAATGAGAGACAGGGTATTCAGAAGGGCTTTTGTGTCTGGGAAGGCCTCCCTGCCCCCACTGCAGAGTCCTGCTCTGTCATGAGACCTCTAGGAGTTATTTGTGGGGGCCCAGGAGACCTGGGGGCTTCCCAAGTGGCTCAGTGGCAAAGAATCTGGCTGCTAGTGCAGGAGATGCAAGAGATGCATGTTTGATCCCTGGGTTGGGAAGAAGATTCCCCTGGAGACGGAAATGGCAACCCACTCCAGTATTCTTGCCTGGAGAATCGCAGGGACAGAGGAGCCTGGCGGGCTACACGCGCGCACACACACACACACACACACGCACACGCACACACACACGCACACACAGCATTCTCAAAATCTCAAACTTAGGTACCACTCTCTGCTCCCTTCCCGGGCCATGACAGTTCCTTGAAAATTTCTTTGCTGTTCCTAAAAGCCACGGGGTGTGTGTGTGTGTGTGTGTGTGTGTGTTGAGGGCAGGGAGGATGGTGACAGAGGAGTAAATACCGTAGGTGACTCTTCAGATAATCTGCGTGAAAACCTGAAACAAAGAGGGACGACCTGGTGAGACAGGAGAGAACATCCAGCCTCACCACCTGTCTCCCAATATGCCCTGAAAATTCTGGTCCACAGATATCCTCTTTCTTTAAGAATTGGTAGTGCATGTAATTATAGATTATCTGACATTTTACTTGAAATTACCTTTTAAAGGTGAGTCATTGCAAAGTGGTTAAGAGATCATATTCTGGAGCCAGGGCAATATAGGACAAATCCTGGTTTATGAGGTACTGGCTGTGTGACCTTAGACAAGCGGCGTAACCTCTGTGTGCCTCAGTTTCCTCATATGTAAATTGAGGATAATAGTAATATCTACTTTACTCTTCTGTTATGGGTAAATTACTCAGCCAGCAGCACTCATACATATTCATTGGAAAAGGAGATAGTGGGACTTCCCTGGTGGTCCAGTGGTTAGGACGCCACGCCTTCACTGCCCAGGGCCCAGGTTTAATCCCTGATTGGGGAACTAAGGTCCAACAAGCCATGCTGCACAGCCGAAGAAAGAAAAAGGAAAAGTAGATAGTGTAAAAATTAGCAGAAAAAGAGATAAACATCTTCAATCCTTCCACCTATAGGTAACCACTATTTCTATATTGGTACGTACCCTTATATGTTTTCTGTAGACAAAATTAAAATCATACTTTGAATGTTATTTGTAACTTTTCCCCTTAATAATATATCATGAGCATTTGCCCATACTTTTTAACATCATTATATCTAAAAGAGAACTACGCTGAAGCTTTAGGTGGCTTCCAGATTGTCACTTTTACATGAAATGCTTTGGTAAACTTTTTTGTATGTTAATCTCACTCCCTTTTTTTTTTTTTTGGCTGTGCCATGCAGCTTTTGGGACCTCAGTTCTCTGACTAGAGATTGAATCTGGGCCCATGGCAGTGAAAGCCTGGAATACTAACCATTAGGCCACCAGGGTACTCCCTCATCTCACTATTTTCCTTGAAAAAGTTTTCCTTGAAGAGAACTGAAATTGCTGATTCAAAAGGCATTTGTTTTTATTTTTAAGGCTTTTGACACATACTGCCAAATTGCCCTCCAGAAATGTTCTCTAGTGATGTGTGAGAGTTTGTTTTCTTGTCCTCTTGTCATTAGGGATTATTCTACATTTGTTTTTTGGCTGCATTGTGGCATGTGGGATCTTAGTTCCCTGACCAGGGATCAAATACGTGCTCCAGGCAATGGAAGCTTGGAGTCCTAACC